TTAAATATAAAAAATGAATGCACATAAGCTTCTGTTTTTATATGGAGGAATCTTGAATTGTTTATGATTTAAATAATTTTGGTTCTTATGCAATGCATCAGAAGCAGTAAATGTTTTCAGTAATTTTTATATTTATGTTTGATTGGACTCCAGTTGAATCGGAAGCTGAGAGGTGGGTTTGCTGTCTGATGGATGACATTCAGTGTGGTTGGCTGACGTCTGTGTTTGAACAGCGATTAAACTGAGGAAAAGTGCAGAACGTGGCACAGCCCCTGCCTGTGAAGCCTCACTGGTGCACCTGGCTTCAGTGGAAGGGAGTGAGATTTATGGAACCGGCCCAAAACCGTCAGCGATTAAATAAATAAATGCCATACTGTGGGAGATACATGTCCTGGGAGAAACCTGAATCTGAAGCTGAACCTGGAAGACCAGAACCTGGACTGGCTCCCCTTGGGGGCGTTTAAAATGGGTACATGTTTCAAAGCCGTCACAGGACATGTCAGCCAAGATAATCAGCTTATCCAGCTTGTTAACCTTGGGAAATGGAAGTGTAGATGGAGCTGGCAGTGAATCAAGTGGTAGGTACGCTGTGAAGGAGACGTGGGGCTGTAGGTACGCTGTGAAGGAGACTTGGGGCTGTAGGTACGCTGTGAAGGAGACGTGGGGCTGTAGGTACACTGTGAAGGAGACGTAGGGCTGTAGGTACGCTGTGAAGGAGTCGTGGGGCTGTAGGTACGCTGTGAAGGAGACGTGGGGCTGTAGGTACGCTGTGAAGGAAACGTGGGGCTGTAGGTAGGCTGTGAAGGAGACGTGGGGCTTTAGGTACGCTGTGAAGGAGACGTGGGGCTGTAGGTATGCTGTGAAGGAGACGTGGGGCCGTAGGTACGCTGTGAAGGAGACGTGGGGCCGTAGGTACGCTGTAAAGAAGACGTGGGGCTGTAGGTACGCTGTGAAGGAGACGTGAGGCTGTAGGTACGCTGTGAAGGAGACGTGGGGCTGTAGGTACGCTGTGAAGGAGACGTGGGGCTATAGGTATGCTGAGATGGAGACTTGGGGTTATAGGTACGCTGAGATGGATACTCCTGTGTAATTTTTTATTTTTTAGGCCTCAGTTATTACAGGCTTTAATTTGGACGCTTCACTTGAGAGCAGAGCTTAGCAGAGCTGGAGGGATGTTATTACACGTGCCCGTCGATCTGGCACAGTGGATGAAAAATGGGCAAACGGCGGCCTTAAATCAAGCTGCCAAGAGTAAAATGAGATAAAGGACCACGGGACGTGCGGATGGGGAGCGGACTGGTGCCTCCGGTGGGTCGGGAGCAGACTTGCGTCTCCATCGGGTCGGAAGAACAACCTCCAGCATGTTTGGATCACGTGTTTGTTTACTTGTTTATTGTGTTTTATTTACAAGACTATTCTCGGACTATTATCGCAGTTTGCTTTGTTTTTTGGCGCTAAATGGGGCATTTCGGCGGACAGGGAGCTGTGTCATGAGTAGGACGCCCTCTAGCATGGATCGACCAGGTGACAGCCGGGTCATGGGGCCCCCCCATCAGACTACCATCCACACGCTAGGGGGGCAAATTTTTTGGGCCGGTACGGCTGTAATGCGTAATGGAATTCAAGATAGCTTGTCATTGGGGAAATCACTGGGAGTGTTACTTGCACAGGCCGGCGTGGTTTTACCTACCGTGCATGGAGTTTTGGGAATAAAGGATTTTTTTTTATCATCTCATCTCTGTTAGCCATTAGACGGCACGCCTGCCCATTCGGCAGCGATGATGCCATTACTGGGGAAACCGCAGTGTTGATTGCCAAGGGTATTTGTGGGATATCAGCTCCTGAGGTAATGGGCCCTGTTTTTTATTTTATTTTTTGTGTTATTACGGCTCCGTTCTCCATGCATATAAACACGGCGACACAATTACGGCAGGGGGCCAGATTGCGGCCCAGATTGAGAGCGCTCGAGAGAAAATCACCATGTTCGCATGCGGCCGGGCCCCAGCACGCGGACCAGCGGACCCATGTAAGTGGGAGTGAGGCTCTCATCAGACCCTGATTGGGTTGCTGACACAAAGCCAGGAGCCGGACAGGGAAGGCAACGGCGGGGGAAGCAATCAAACGCATTATAACCGTCCGCGTCACCGCCGAGTCCGGCTTTATCCGCCACTGAGTGTCTGACAGGTGCGCCTGACTGAGTTTTCGCTATCAGGCTGGTGCGAGACCGGCGAATCGTACGAGAGAGAAAACCAAAAAAAATGGCAGGGAAGGGTCAGCGTCGCCACCCGCAGTCTGGCGGATGAATTGCCTTGACAATTACACGCAATCATGTGCTCCGCGGCCCAATTTCGGAGTCTGATCGATAGACGCTTGGCGCTCCGGCAGCCACGGGTGCTTCAGCTGTCGGTTTGGGGACTGCGAATCTGTGACTTGCTAGGCCCCTCTTCCTCTCTCTCTCCCCCCTCCCTCCCTCACGAACACACTCCTTTGCTTAGACCGCGTCCCCGCCCCCGGCCAACACGGCGCGCGTGGCAAAGCCCATAGAAACACTCTATAATTAAACCCGAGCGATGACACGTGTGACAAAGGGGTCTGGCCTGCCACCGGGGGGCAGCACCAAAGGAAACGTTGCACGAACGCAGGCCTTTGCGTAGCACGGCTGCAGCCTGCCAAGTCCAACGCGTGGGTCAGTGGCCAAGCGCCCCCCCCCCAAGCTCACGGCGAAGCGCCACCTCAGACAGGGTGACGGGCGTGGCCTCCGGGCTTGGCCGAGCGACTCTGCGGGCGATCAGGGCCGGGCCCCGCCCACCCTGTCCCGATTGCGCGAGTGGCACGAGTACAGTCAGTGAGGTGAGAGTGGTGGGTGACAGGCGTGGGACTGAGAGCTGACGACATTTCGTTATTTTTCCCGCGCGACGGCGTTCGCCGTGCCGCAATGTTCGAGGTCCCTGGTCTGGCTGCTGGATAGGATCGGCCGCCATGTTTTCAGCGGTGCTCAAGGTAAGCTTCGGTTACATAACGACCAAATTTTTCACATGGTACGCGGCTTTTCAGACAGCCGTTTGTGAGCATCGATGTAGCGTGGTGGGTTTTTTTCGCGATTTCGTTAAGCGCTCATGCCGTCGGGCCGTTTGCGGAGGTTTGGTGTCGCAGTGACCGGAGGTTCTTCGGCCCTCGAGGGCTTACAAAATGTGCAGATGGCTTTGTTTGTCAGAATCAGCATGGGGAGGGGTGTGGGGGGGTGGGGTTTCATGTTGGGGGGGGGGTGCGCAATGTCGTCGTCTGATCGTACGCAGAGCCACAATGGATGGGCGGCACCGGAATCTGTGCCGGGCAGGGGGGCGATGAAAACAATTTTAGCATGAATTAAAACTGTACGCTTTTCCCCCCTGTCTTTCCTGAATGAGGATCCACCCCACCACCGACCCCCAACGCTCCCCTACCCTGTGTCTTTAATCAGATGATCCTCTGTGAACAAACACAGCTTGCTGAGAAACAGGGATTAGGATTTCTTCCAGTTTGATTCCGGGGACAAAGACACACACACACACACACACACACACCATAGTCCAGGGTGTGACATACGCTCATATTTCCTCTCCCTGCATGACGGAAAGGAACCACTCCCCACCGTTTCTCCTCCACGGCCTCCTTGCCATCCTTCCTTTCTTCCCTCCCCCAAAACCCGCAGATAAATAGCCAGGTGAGACACCGTTTCATTTAAGGGGATTATTAGGCCGCTTTAATGCTGTTTGTGCTCGTAAACGGCGCCGTTCCCGTTCCCGTCCCACGGTGGCAACGATGGCCCGTGTGAATTGAACAGCCTCTACAGAGGCGGGATAATTGCATCCGATTGACTCTTCCTGATGTCGTGGGGAGCGCAGTAAAGGTTAACATGCGACGAGGCCAATTTAAAAAGCGGCGGGAATGAACGGAGGGGATTTGAAGGCACGCTCCAGTGGGTGCTGGAGTTCATTAAACAGCTGGTGACAATGTCTCCCTGTGCCGAATCCTCACTTTCTATCCCACCGCCCCGGTTACTGTCGTGCTGTCATTTGGTAGATAAGAGTACAGGCCGAGCCAGTGGGTCTCAGCAGTAAAGGGCCCAGTGCTCGACTTCCAGGTCATGTGACCCGTACGATGATCTTCATCCTTGTGATGGAGTGTCATGGCTGTGTGTAACACCATCCTCTCGGCCATTAACGAGGAAAACTTACCCTTCTTTGTCGTGCTTCTGCAGTTTTGAGCGCATGTCTATCAAGTGGAGGGTTACAGAAGTGCTGGTAATTTGGGGACGACCCCCATCCCCTCCCCCTGATAGACACCGGGTGCAGCCGGGCCCTGCCTCTCTAATCTGCACTGCAGCGCCGAGGCTGAATGAGCCTCAGACTTTTATTCTCCTACCTCCAATTTCCCCTGAGTCTCCAAGATTTCTAAAAAAAAAAAAAAAAAGGTTTTGTTTAATGAAGGGAAAAGGAGAGACGTGTAAGATTAGAGAGCTCTGGGTAGACATGTAATCGCAAAGCGCCATTCCAAGTCAGGAGACTACAAGGGACGGCCAGTGTGTAGCTTACTCCCAGGAGCTAGTAGTTGGACCTTTGACCAGGCAACATTTAATGTTGATTAATGAATTCTGGGTACAAGTTTTTAAATGTTTTGTACGTTATTTGTTTTTTTTTTTTTTTTTTTTACTGTTCTAGCTTTTTCGCTATAAATATATACCAGAACATTGACTTTTTTATTTGCTATACGTGTGTGTGCCCATTAAGTTGCAAATCAGTCAAATTCATAAGAAATCAGTATCAGTAAGTCAAATTCGAGCCCTAATGTATGCAGAGAGAGCAGGTTCTGGTCAGGGATCTCGTCTGAGAGGGGTGAGTTGTCCCCGATGCTGCGCATCCTCCCTCCTCGGTGCCGCTGGGGGCTGTGCGAGCTGCGTTTGGGGTGGTGCAGAGCGGGTCCCACGCCTGTGCTCACTGTACCTTCTGTCCCTGTCACAGGCTGTGAATATCCTGCATCTGAGACCAGGCTGACTCACGGCGGACTGTGAGCCAGTGCCTCCGAGGCTGCTGAGGGATGCCGGTGCCAAGCTGTCACATGATGCACACGGCCAGGCCTGCGCTGTTGCTTCTGTGTTTCCTGCTCCTCGCTGACGCCGAATGTAAGTCCCCCACGCCCCCCCCTCTGCCCCCCTCCCGCCCGTCCCGTAACACAAATGAAGGCGCTCATCCAGAATGCAAATAAGAAAACACGATGGAAAAAAAACAGGGAACGCTTCTGCCGCATACAAATGTGTAATTTCATCTCGGATTTGGGGTGATGTTTAATCGCATGATGCAGCACCCGTGCCAAGGGTCGAGCTGGTTTTAGCGCGGTCGCAGCCTCCTTCCTCAAATGTTGGCATTCACTGGAGATGCACCTGGGAGAACTGGGCAAGCAAAAAAACAGTCTGGGAACTAAGAACACACATCCCGTACACTTTTGTCCTGAACATTCAACTGATAGCTAAATACAGATGCTCCCCAGGTTACGATGGGGTTACGTTCCGATAAACCTATCCTAATGCAAAAATAAGGCGAAAATTCATTTTAATACTGTACACCTCACAAACATCATAGCCTTGCTTACCTTAAACATGCTTATAATAGCCTACGAACGGGCAAAATCATTATCGGAAAGCTTATTTTAGAATAAATTGTTGAATGTCTCATGTAATTTATTGAGAAATGTACTAGAAGTGAAAAACATTTACCCTTCGTAAAGTCAAAATATCGTAATATGTACCATCATAACCCAGGAAGCGGCTGTATTCTTGCCTCCTGCCAGTGAATTTGTTTCAGAATGATGAGAGGGCATCAAAAAAGCCACACGTTCCCCCCCTCCCCCCTGTCCCCCCCCCACTCCGGCCTCCATATCGGGCCGCTTATCGATTTTCTTTTGAATCATCTGTCCAGTTTTGGTTTCTTCTTTGGCTGATACTGGGCGTAGCACCTTCCGTTGAAATTTCTGGGGCAGAGTCGGAGACAGAAGGACAAATGATGATGGTTCGGAGAGATAACCAATCAGTCAGATGTCTTGGTCCCGCCTCCTCTAGTTGCTTAGACCCACCTCCTCTACAATCTGATTGGTTATTTATCTGAACAATAATTTTTCCTTCTGTTCTCAGAATTGTTTTTTTGTAAGTAAAACTCCCAGAATCCTGAATGACAGGCTGATGAACGGCCCGACTTTGTTCTGGTTGATTAAATCTCGGCCATAGTGGACCCTAACCCAGCGTGCCTTGGGCTCCTTTCAAATGCCGCACCCCCATTTCTCCCAGTTCTATGTCGCAACAGCTGCTCTGATGCAATACTTCTGACAGTTGTGCTGCTTTGTGTTATCAAAGCCGCCGAAGCAAATTGACCGTGAGTTTGGGCACTGGGGAGACTGTCAGGTAATGAGTGAGGGGCAGTGGTACTCCAGAACCTAAAGCTTGGCGCAGAGTCACATTCGGGAGCCAGATATCCATCTCTCACTGTCCCTCCTGCTCCCTGTCCGCGCTGGAAACGTGTGATCCGCAGCTCGCTGCTGTCTCGAGTCTCTGCACCGCTAAACATCTGCATCACCGTGTAAACGGCTAAGCGACCCCGCCATCTGCACTGCAGAGTCCCATAGCCTCTGCCAATAAAGAGACGGTCATTTTGAAAATGTAAATAAATAACAGCCCTGATTGCTTGGAACCGCGTGCGTCGGTGCCGCGAATTGGCTCGTTGTTCCGCGGTTTGCTGGGGACGAGACCCCCAGAAGGCAAAATGGTGGCCTTTGCCCCCCCCCCCCCCCCCCCCCCCCCACCCCCCCCCC